CCCCTGACTGCCCCGACCCCTATCCACATCCCCGCCCCCTGACAGGCCCCCAGGACCCCCATGCCTATCCAACACCCCTGTTCCCCATCTCGTGATCCCTATCCACACCCCCGCCCCCTGACACGCCCCTTGGGACTCCCACGCTTATCCAAACCCCCCGCTTCCCATCCCCTGACCGCCCTCCCCAGAACCTCCACCCCATCCAAATGCCCCCTGCTCCCTGTCTCCTGACTGTCCCCCGGACCCCCCGCCCCTTATCCAACGCCACAGCCCCGGCCCCCTTACCATGCTGCTCAGAGCAGCATGTCTGGCAGTCGCGCTGCCCAGCCGAAGCTAGACAGGCTGCCGCTCAGCTCTGCAGGAGCACGCCGCTCCACTGCCCAGAGCGCTGCCCGCGCGGCGGCGTGGCTGCAGGGGAGGGGGGACAGCCTCCCCGGCCAGGAGCGCAAGGGCCAGGCAGGACAGTCCCGTGGGCCGGATGTGGCCCGCGGGCCGTAGTTTGCCCACCTCTGCTTTAGATAGTACTAAAAGTGTCAATGTTTTGCGCTTCCCCTCCTCCCCCGATTGTCATTTGTGAGTGATTCCCTCCCCACAATGTTTGTGACCCACCGGTTGAGAAGCACTGATCTATACCATTCCTTTCCTTTGCTGCACTGTATTTAAGGCCAAATCTTACCACTATTATTCTGTCCTAATGCAGGCAAATCTCCACTGGTAGTTTTGCCTGAATAAAGATCTCAGTGTCTGGCACTTAATTATAGGCAGAGCTGCTGATGCCGCCTATCCGTAATGTTGCCCAACACTTCACAGTGTATGACCCTGTTTCTTTTTCTTACAACTTTGCCAAACTTTAATTGTTTGTCTAAAATTTTCCGTGCCAGGCATGTGCCTCAGGCAGAATGTTTTGGGGACATTTCAGCAAAAATGGTTCAGCCATTAATCAGAACAAGATTAGGGGGAAATGCTTTGTTTTGCCCATGTTCAAAAATATTCCCACAACCATTTTGTTGAGAAGCTCTAGCACCTCCATGCCCTGGAGCAGGGACTTGACATTTGGCAGGGATGTGTCTTTTGTTGTTCTTGGGGAAAAACTACTCACATTTGGCCAAGTTATAAACCTTTGAAAAATTGAAGTTCCCACCTGCTTGGTAGAGAATTGCTAGAGTTAGGGAGCTACATTCTCTGAAGCTGCTGTCTGCAGCAAGCATGCTCCAGCCAGGGCTACACAGACTGAGCAGGCCTTTCCCTGCAATTGCTGTGGGTTGCCTGTGCAACCTGATTTTGGCCCTCTTGTATGCATGCATTAGGATACAGTCTGTCATTACATGAGCATATACCATTATTTCCACAGGAACCCCGCTGAAGATAATCTTATCTATAAATTGTGGTTATCTGAGTCAGTACCCTAAAGGAAATGAGTGAAACTAACAGCAACCACTAATATCTGTGCAATGGATTGGCTCAATGACCTGTGATCTCTGCACACAGGGAGTGTGACTCCCTACTACCGTGGGAGCCATTGGAGAGCTGTCTATGACAGACAGACTGCGAGGACAGGCCTAGTGAAATGTTGCACGTACTGTATTCAGCATAGATAGGTAACTGCATTTCAGGCTCAGAGGCATTAGTGACTGTGCCAGGAATGCAGTGCCAATCCCCCCTGTGTACTGGGCACATGTACTAGGCATTAATAGACTCATAGACTTTAAGGTCAGAAGGGACCATTATGATCATCTAGTCTGACCTCCTGCACAATGCTGGCCACAGAATCTCACCCACCCACTCCTGTATCAAACCTGTGTCTGAGCCATTGAAGTCCTCAAATCCTGGTTTAAAGACTTCAAGGTGCAGAGAATCTTCCAGCAAGTGACCTGTGCCCCATGCTGCAGAGGAAGGAGAAAAACCTCCAGGGCTTCTGCCAATCTGCCCTGGAGGAAAATTCATTCTCGACTCCAGATATGGTGATCAGCTAAACCCTGAGCGTATGGGCAAGACTCACCAGCCAGACACCCAGGAAAGAATTCTCTGTAGTAACTCAGATCCCACCCCATCTAAGATTTTCTTATTGCTTCCCAACCAGGTACATGCTGAACAACTCCCTGAGTAGCATGCCCAACACTTCCGTATGTGCAGAAATGCCGAAACTCAGCTGGCTGTGAGTACCTGCCCTGGTGTGGAGATCTGGTGTCTGAATCGGCAGAGGCTGTGGTGTTGGGTTAGCCAGAATAAGGCACAGGCACCTCAGCCCACCCCCGCCAGTGGCATTCTTGTGAGCAGGTTGGGTGGGGGTATTCCCAGTGCAGGCTAGGGGGCGAGGAGAAGCAGCTGTGTCTCTCTTGGTATTCTGCAGGGCAGCGCGGTAGATGCGATCAGAGCAGGGGTTAGCTTGAGGTGATTTGGCTGGACTGGAAAGGCAGAGAGGAGAAGGCTGCAGCAGACGAGAGACAAGCAAAGGTGTTTTAACAGAGGGGAGCGAGGGGACAGGGTGGATATTAGAGAGGAAGCAATGAAAGGCCATAGTGAGAGCATGCGTCAGAGAAAGGAAATCAAGAGGATAGGGAGGTCGTGAGCCTGGGAGATGAGGGGATAGTGGAGTTTTTGACAGTGACACAGAAAGCAGGACCAGAGACAATGATCTTTGGGGTCAGTTCTCACACCGCTGCCAGGCAGCTGGGGTCAGGAGCTCTGCTCTCATGGGTGGCATCGGGACAGACTCCCTTCTGTCCAGGGAGAAGCAACAATTTGTCTGGCCGAGGACATCTAGGTTGGAGGGGGATCAGTAAGGTGAAGGTTTGCTATCCACGGAAACCCAGCTACTGCTCTTTCTCTAGGGAGCTGGAAGGAAACCAGATCCATGCTCTAAGGAGCTCAGTGTTCCAGGAATGCAACACCTTCACTGTGCTGTGAGTACCAACCCTCCACTGGCCGTACACTAAGGTGTGGGGGGGAGAGTGGGATCTGGCGTGGCTATGGAGTCACCCCTTCAACCCTAACCTGCATGGGGGAAATCACCAGGGACCTCATCTATCAGCTGGGTCATGCTATGAATTGGGTGTAACACCAGCGACCTTGGGCCAGGTTCTCAGCTCGTATAAATCAGGGCAGGTCCAATGACTTCAACAGAGCTAGGCCGCTTTGTCCCTACTGCAGATCTGGCATCTTGAATCCATTTTATGGCACACAACCTATGTTTATAAACAGCAACAGTAGAGACAATTTCATGGTATTTTAAATATCGGTTGTACATCTGCATTTATACTTGGTAATGGGGGCCAGAGATTTCACCTCTAGTTCACTGCTTTGACATCTGCTCAGGTTAGTAATGAGCAAAAGCCATTGATGGCCATTCGGTGACCAACAAGACATGAGCTGGTGAGGCTAACACCTGTCCACATCACAAACCATGGAGAATGAGCTAGTACCCTTGGAGCAAAGACTAAGGCAGAGGGTGGGATGTGGAGACAGGTCACCTTTCTGCTGCCCACGCTGTAGCTGTTGTGTGGGCAAAGTGATTCGCTCGCCACCCAGAACCTTTCACTAGCACTAAAATCCCTTTTACATTCGTCTTTTAAAGAAGAAAAATATAAAGCCTGCCTAGTAGGTTCTCAGCCTGTTAAACACGTGCCAGTTCTTTTTTTGCCCCTCATTCCTAAAGTCTATTTTTGGTCAATTTCATATCTGGCCTGCAGTGTTCGTTTACAGTGTCAGGCTATAGTGCTGCTGCTTTCCAGGAGCTCACAAAGCCAAGGAATTCTCCCAGAGAAGATGCAGCCCTGGCCTAGAGTCTAGTTTTCCTAAACATGATGTTGATATATTTCCCAGAAGGCTCAGCCTCTGGAGCCCTGCAAAATAAGGCTAATAAACTTGCATGCCCTGTATATGTTATTCATATACACAAGTTACAAATTGTCCATGGGACAGTGGCATGAATGGAATGTGCAGTCAAGCCTGTCCTCCCAAAGTGAGGGGTGATTATTATCCAGGGTACTGGGAATGCCTCACTGGATCCTTTCCCAAAGCTGTCAGATTGGAGTAGGTGAGTAAATCCAAGGCTTATCTGAACAATAGCTGATAGTGGCTTTGGCAGGATCGCCTCCTGTATCCTGAGGAAGATTTCCCCGTTCCCCAAGCTGTGTTAACAATGGTATAATCCCCAAGTAAGTCCCGTTACTTTTAGCTTGATGCACCCAGTTACTTGCTCACCTGGCAAGGGATTTGGGAGGCTTAAATAATTAATCATAGAGCCCTGGCTATTGGAGATGGCAAAGGCCCATTAGGTCATCTGGTCTAATGAACAGAGGGATGTTCGCTCTTCACTCATGAAGGTTTGTGAAACACTTTGAGCACCTCAGATAAAGGGGCAGTATGGGCCTGAGGCAACATTTCAGAAGTGCTGATCATCCTCTAAAGTCACTGAGAGCTGCAGGTGCTCTGAAAAGCAGCCCACTTTTAATTAGTTAATTTTAATTAACTTTAGGCACCCACATGGGAAAATGTTGGCCCTGAGTTTTAGAAGTGGTTAGGCCTGCAGTAACACAGCCAGTGTGTGTGTGAGCGGCTGGTGTGATGGTACAAACAAACCAGGTACCTCCTCGGTCTGCATGCGGGACACAAGTCAAGCACTCCTGAGCAGTAATCAAGGACTGCAGTGTACAAAATACTGTTCTAACTGGCACTATTATTATTATGCCATTTCTCATCTGAAACACTTGGGCTCTGTTGCAGCCTGAGTTATCAAAGAGCTAATTTCCAAAGGCATTTTCATAGTCAAGGCAAGGAGACATTCCAATTGATGCATTTCATCCTCATTTTCTGAGTGATCCCAGGTGTTTCCAAATGCCTCAGCACAGGGGACTGGAGTAGAAGAGTTCTGGGGTCCTGCCAGCGGTACATTTCTATGATTCTATGAAACCTTGTAATTCCGAGCTTTCCCAGACCCTCTGGGAACAACCCTGCAGCTGATGGAGCATTGGCGGCACATTCCAGAACTCAGTACCCAGGAGTTCTGCCTCATCGGAGTTCCTGCTCTCTCTGTGTATGGTGCCCAGACTCTGCCCCGTATGCTCCTGCCCCCTCTAGAACTGGGGGTCAGCTCCCTGGCACTGGGACTGTCTACACTGCAACTAGACACCTGTGGCTGGCCCATGTCAGCTGACTTGGGCTCACGTGGCTCGGGCTAAGTGTAGCCATTCGGGTGGTGCACGGTCTCTAGGACCCTGTGAAGTGGGAGGGTCCAAAAAGAGCCTGAACATCTACACTGCAATTAAACAGCCCCTTAGCCCGGCCTTGCCAGCCCCTGAAACAGGCCAGCCGGGGGTGTCTGCTTGCAGTGTAGACATACCCTAAGTGAGCCTGATGGCTTTGTAATGTGTGTGCAGTGTGGGAACCCCAAAGCAGGGAGCAGTACAGTCTCCACTGAAGTAGCAGCCTTCCAGCACTTCACTTTCCTTGCTGGGCCCCAGCCCGTCTTTGGCATGCAGCTTCGGAGCATGGTGCTTCGTATTTCCCTGCCCTCTATAACCCGTTTGTGGGCACTGCCAACACTTATTACTCTCAGGGCATCTGTGGGCAAGTAAGAAGTGAGCAGCCATTAACAAATGGATTGAGCTGGAGACTCGTGCGTGTGTCGCACGGGGGCTGGACTGCAGCCTGAAGACTCGTTTGTATTTTGCAGTGATTTCCAGGGGACGTTGTCAATGATCCACCCTCAGCTCCCCCCTTGATACCTTCTCAAAGGAACGAATGCTTTGGAAGGACCTATTTTCAGCCACAGAAAGCTGACACAGCCTGTACGGCTCACAGAGGAGGCCACTAGACATTTTATCCCAAGAGGCTGAACCCTGTGTTCCCTTAGCAAGAACTCTCCCTGCCCCATGCTGCCAAAGATGGGAGGAGAGTGAGTGGCTTCCTCCCCACAATGCAATGCTTCCTTCAAGCCAAGCATCCAAGCACTTTTGGCTTTGATCAGGAATGTGTTTCTAAGAAGAGTTATGTCAGCGTCATGGAAACATAAGCCGGGGCAAGACAGAAGGCATAAACACGCCCTGCCAATGACACCAGCACAAGTGACAGCTTTATGAGGAGATGAAACAGACAAGAAGAGGCTAATACGCGGGGTGGTGTGGGACAGCAGGAAGAACTTCCCCAGCCCTCCTTCCCTCACTCTGTCTTCTCTCTGCAACTATCCCGGCCTAGCTGAGGTCTGGTGATAATGAGGACCTGATAACTAAGCAGTGGGGGTGGGTATTCCTAGATTAAATGTTTGGCAAGGACGTGAGCCTCTCCCAATGCAGCATTCCCACCCACTCCCCATGGGTGGGTATTTAATTATGGCAGCCACAGCCTGGGCTAAAGAATACCTTCCACAGACAATAAAGACACACACACAATGGTCATGAGCAAACTACATCCAGGGCAGGACCTCCTGTACCCAGGACCGGCTCCAGGGTTTTTGCCACCCCAAGCGTCGGGGGGGGGGGGGGAAGAAGCCGCGATCGCAATTGCGATCAGCGGCACTCCGGCGGCAGCTCCACTGCGCCACTTTCTTCTTCAGCGGAAATTCAGCGGCAGGTGCTTCCCTCCGAGAGGGACCTGCCGCCGAAGAGCCCGACGTGCCGCCCCTTCCCCTTGGCCGCCCCAAGCACCCGCTTGCTGGGCTGGTGCCTGGAGCCGGCCCTGCCTGTACCACAGCTCCCAGCCTGGGGAGCTGAGCTCCATAGTTCAGCTAGTAAAAGGAGTAGCTGATATATAGGTACGAGGGGTCTGGAAATATCCTCCATGTGGCAGGGGCAGCAGCAGTTCCAGTTCCTTGCCAGAGCCATGGATGAATGTTCAGGGCTTCAGGAAATTGTCTGAGCATGTTGTTCAGTTTTATCCCTCCCTTAATTTTTCACTGAGGGCCTGGGAGGTCAAATCCAGAGAGGGCACTGAAACTCCCTCCAAACTGGCACTTCAATAAGTGACACAACCTGTGGCTCTTGTGGCTGCACTGGAAAACCATGGTTCATTCAATACTGGATACGGATGTTCATACCAAAGGTGCCCAAATCGCAGACAACGAACCGTCCTGAGTTCTGAATTTGGCTTGGAGCCAGATGAGCTTTGTGTAGTGTTGGATTGCACTGTCAGCTCTGTTTGGTTCACACTCCGACAGATTCTTATGGACTCGTCTGATTCTGTGTTTAGTTGTGAGCTCTCCCTGAACCCCACAGTTCAACCCTGGAGCTGCTCTTCCCCAAATATAAGTGTTTGGATGTGGAGTTCGGATCCATGTGAGTGTATCAGTGGGACTGGCACAAGTTTAGCAGTAAACACGTGCTATGTAAGGAACAGAGCAGGCCTGGGTGCGTGGCCTCAAACAAGCCTCTCAGAATTCCAGCGTTAAGATCTCCTTCGTGCCGTGCTCAGTTCTAAAGTCATCAGAGTCCCTGGAAGGAACTGGGAAATGAAGGGCTGCTTTTCACCAGAGCTTCTCTCTCCTCCTCCAGGATTCTGCGCAGAAACAAGATCAAATGGATCCAGGAAGGGGCGTTTTCCAAACTGAACAGGCTGGTGGAGCTGTAAGTATTGCTATTGATTTCCCAGATGCAGTGCCCCTCCTCCACCCCTCGTGGTCAACGGCGTGTCAGTGGTTGTTGTGATTGTGTCACTGTCTTGACCATGATCATTTGCTCATGATCCTGTGGGGGGATCTATTCGTTCTCCCTTGGTGAATAGTTTCCTGACACTTGGGTGCTTGGCTGCTCCACCTACAGGTAGCTTTTAATAACCTCTACATCTATTTGATGCTTATGAAAGTGGAACGCTGATGTTGCCGGATATAGTGCTGGTAGGTGGGTCCAAGCTTCCCCTTCTCCCAGCTCTGCTAAAGCTCTTCACTCCTGATCTGCAGCACCCTTTCCTGTTCCTGTCCTGCACCCCCACACAGGCTGGGCAATATCAGCATATTCAGAAATGATCTGGAAAATGAGGTGCAAAGTTTGCAGATGATACAAAATTACTCGAGATTGTTAAGTCTATGAAGAGTTCCAAAACTAGGTGACTGGCTGATGAAATTCAGTGTTGATAAGTGCAAAGTAATGTGCATTGGGAAGCATAATCCCAACTGTACATACAAAATCATGGGGTCTAAATTAGCTGTTACCACTCAAGAAAGAAATCTTGGAGTCATAGTGGATAATTCTCTGAAAACATCTGCTCAATGTGCAGCAGCAGTCAAAAAAGCCAACAGAATGTTAGGACCCATTAGGAAAGGGATAAATAAAACAGAAAATATCATAATGCCTCTATAAAAATCAATTGTACGCCCACACCTAGAATACTGCATGCAGTTCTGGTCACCCCATCTCAAAAAATATATTGGAAAGACTTTGGAAAAAATACAGTGAAGGGCAACAAAAATGATGAGAGGTATGGAACAGCTTCTGTATGAAGAGAGATTAAAAAGACTGGGACTGTTCAACTTAGAAAAGAGACAACTAAGGGGGGGATATGATGGAGGTCTATAAAATCATGAATGGTGTAGAGAAAGTGACTAAGGAAGTGTTCTTTACCCCTTCACAGAACACAAGCACCAGGATCACCCAATTAAATTAATAGGCAGCAGGTTTATAACAAACATAAGGACGTATTTCTTCACACAACACATAGTCAGCCTGTGGAACTTGTTGCCAGGGAATGTTGTGATGGCCCAAAGTATAACTGGGTGAAAAAAAAGAATTAGATAAGTTCATGGAGAATAGGTCCATCAGTGGTTATTAGCTAAAATTATCAGTGATGCAACCCCATGCCCTGGGTGTCATTAAGTCTTTGCCAAAAGAGGGGACTGTATGACAGGGGATGGATCACTTTCTAATTTCCCTGTTCTGTTCATTCCCTCTGAAGCACCTGGCACTGGCCCCTGTTGGAAGACAGGACACTGGGCTAGATGGACCATTGTTCTGACCCAGCATGGCCATTCTTATGTTACGTTCTAATGCACCACAAGCCTTACCAGCAGCACTGCCTGCTATTCCAGGCCTGGGCTCCCCCCTTAGCTCTGCCAAGCACCTCTACCCCAATCTGCATGACTTCTGCTATGCTTCGCCTGCCCCCAGTCCCGCCCATTTACACAGAGCTCTGCAAGCACCTGAACTTGCACAGACCTGCAACGGTCTAGTTACTCCAGCTCTGAGCCATTCTTGGGGCTATCATTTGCTACCCAATTGTAACAGTTTTATGATGTGTGCATATAGCACCCTTCCCCCCCCCCCCGCTGAACCCCAACAACCAGCTGTCTGAAATCTTGCTTTTGTTTGCACAGTGACCTGTCTTACAATAGACTGGAGGAACTTCCACCATCTTTATTCAGTAACCTGCATGACCTCCAGCAGCTGTGAGTACTGTATCGGAGCTCCCCAAGCCTTAATCTGAGCCGCCCCTCTGGCATTTGTTACTATAAAGGATCTTCAAGGGGTACCACAGAGAGCAGCATAGGCAGCCAGCTGTCCATGAGGGGTGCACAGAGTGCAGCTCTAGGGGGACCACCTGGTTCAGGGAATTGTTAATGGGCTGTGACCAGGGTCCCAGTGGTGACCAGCTGTGGTCACTCAATTAGGGTGAACTACAAAGAATGGGGCAGCCAAACCCGCAAAAACTAGTGGATATTCCAATACTTAGATTTACCAAGCCAGTATAAAACAGCTTTTTTATTACCTTACTGGTTACTCAAAACTCCAAACAACACAGTTCCCTTAAAGTGATCCAGCCTCAGGCCTCCATCCAGGTACTCATGTCAAATATGATGAAAATTTCTGTAAATCTTATTTCATTGTATTAAAGATAAGGTTCTACCAATCCCAAAGGATCAGACACATTGCTTCTCAGATTATTGAATATTCCAAATCTTATCCAAATACACGCTACAGCCAATTCTTAACTAAACTAAAATTTATTAAAAAACAAAAGAGAGAGAGAGAGAATGGTTAAAAGATCGATATACATACAGACACGAGTTCAATTCATTGAGGTTCAGATTCATAGCAGAGATGGTGAGCTTTGTAATTGCAAAGAGTTCTTTCAGAAATAGTTCATAGGTTATAGTCCAAAGTCATTGCAGGATGTGCCAGTTTAGGACTGGGATCTCAGTCCTTTTGTCTAAGCTCCCCCTGTATGAAGCCTCAAGCAGAGCTGAGATGACAGAATCAGGACCCAAGGATCTTTTATACAATTTCATGTCCTCTTTGACAAGTTGGGGGTTCCTCCAGGAACAAAAGGTCATTAGGATGACTTTGTAGGAAGTTCATCGCTGGTACTTAGCTATAGAATTAACATAAGGCCATTTGCTTGTTCCTCCAGCATTCACAGTACATTTCAAAGAGAGATGAATACCGAGATTTCCCCATGTTTACGTTCATTTTTTTAATTAATTAATTGAGATATCCTATCTCCCAGAACTGGAAGGGACCTTGAAAGGTCATCGAGTCCAGCCCCCTGCCTTCACTAGCAGGACCAAGTACTGATTTTGCCCCAGATCCTTAAGTGGCCCCCACAAGGATTGAACTCACAAGCCTGAGTTTAGCAGGCCAATGCTCAAACCACTGAGCTATCCCTCCCACCTATTTTAAATGCTAGGATGTTCTTTTGATCTCTGGACTATCAGAATCCAGCATAGACAGGGCCTGTTGATTACATTGTGGACCCTACTCATACATATGTAAATTCACAAAAACACAAACATTATCTCCTCACGTCTTTTGAGGGTTATTTATTTTGCAGGATGTTTAACCCTTTCTGGCCATGCGTCACATGGGCTAACCAGCCTTTTGCTTCTGAGTCATCGGGTCAAATCCAACCCAGATAAGTAGCACCCACAATAGCTGCCAGTTGTTTGTTGGCCTAATTGAAAGGAAACAGTGGTCTGGGCCCACAGCACTGCTTGGCCCTGTTCTGGCAGCTTCAGCAGAGGAACAATAATAATAGTACCCAGCTCTTATCTAGTGCTGTTCATCAGTCCACTTGACTGCGCTGCCTTCCCAGGCACAGTGCATTCCCTCACACTTGCAGGTGGTCTCCCTAGGTTGACCGTGCCAGTCGCAGCCAGTACGTAACAGCGGGTATGTTACTGTTTCAAGAGAGGCAGGGGAGTCTGAGGCCAGGGGAAAGTCTGCCATGGGTTTGCTCCTGGTGTGGCCTTGGTTTATGTGTTCCCAGTTAATAGTTTGCAGCTAAGGAATAGAACCAGACTGAACACGTTCGGGTTCGAGCCTCCAGGGCAGTTACAGATTTAGTGGCGAACTGTGACTGACCCAATGGGGGATAGACTCAAAATAAAATAATCAGTTCAACCAACAGCCATTACAATATAACCTCACACTGCAGTGGTGCCTGCAGTCCAAGATGACCTGGTGCATTGGGGGGTGCTCACTCCCTGCACAAGAAGATGGGGTGTATAATCCTTTCTCTAACGGTACCTTGATGGTGGATGAGCATGCTAACCTAAAAGCAGCGCACCACCCTTTTATAATCAATTATACGACCACCCCATAATTAATTAGCATTAAGCCTCCCTTTTACCTTTTCTATATTTCTGCTACCATAATTAAATATTTTTACTTTCTTATTGGCTATTTAACACTAAACATCATCTTAATTAACATCTGCATAAATACCACTCCAATAAGTATCAATACAGGTAGGGTGACCAGATGAGGGGAAGAAAATATCGGGACACATGTGGGGGGGGAGGGGGGCAAAAAAAAATTTATCGGGACGTCTGGTCACCCTAAATACAGGTAACATGCTGCCAACACATTCACATTTTGTCTAAACCACTTGTTAAAACCAAAATATGTTTATAACATGACCTGGGGTTATGTCCTAGCTTATCTCTAACTTGCCTCTGAATTGTCTCACTTCACTCAGATATTACGTTCCTTATTATTATCAAGCCCAAATTTAGGCCCACAAATTGCTCTCTACTCACATTTCAGCATATTTCTATTTAACATAAGCAAGCATCATCTCTACCGGCGGCCCTGGGGAGATCTCGGCTTTCAGGTTTTGTGGGGAGTTTCTGGAAAGAAAGACTGCTTTTTCTGTTTGCAGAAATATTTCCTACAACCCCCTGAAGCAGATCTTTGCCGACCAATTTGACAGCCTGCCCCACCTGCGCTCTCTGTAAGTGTGAACAGCAGTACAGGCACTGAAGAGCTCTGCCTCCCCTAAAGCCCCTTGAGCCTGTCGCCTCAGGCCAGGTGGAGAGCCAAGCTAGCTCATGTCTTCTGTTGCATTGATTTTTACAGGAGTATTGAAGGTCTGGAGATCCCCAACATCCAGACTCGCATGTTCCAGAAACTCACCAATCTGTCTCACATGTGAGTACTTGGGAGTGGGGAAAAGGATTGGGAGCTTCTGTTGCTGTGGTAGAAGTTAGTGCCAGGAAAAATTAAACAAACTGGGCTCAATCCTCAGTCGATATGTCCTTCTGCGATGCCCAGAAAACAGCTGGATCTCCCCAGATAGATATTTCTATGCCACCCCACACAGAGAGTGTGCCAGGATCAAGACACTGCTTTCTGGGAATCCCTAGCTGGCAAAAAGGCCTCTGGAGTGTCATAGCCAACAAGGCTTAGTTTAGAGCAGCCACAGTCTAAACTGTGCCAAGAGAGATGGGGGAACAAGTTCCAGGTCTGGGGACACACAAACGCCACAATATTTAAAGGTGTTTTACCCATAAGCATTAATCTGTGTGTGACCCACTCCCCCATGGCCTGCCTCCCGGCCACACTCACTGGCCCTGCTGGGAGGCCAGGCTGAGCTGCCAGTGCAGCCAGGGCTGGGCCTGGGGTGAGGAATCGCTCCGGCTCCTTGGGAGTGGGCCTCCCTGAGGACCCACTTGCCTGGAGAGGCCCAGCCAAGCACCTCCCTCCCCACCACTGTCGTCCCCGCCCACGGTCTGAGACCTAAGACTGACCAGGCTTCTGCACCAGTCCCAGGCGGCTCAGCTCCGAGAGGACAAGCGGGGCTCCAGAGGTGGTGGGAAGCAGAGACTGCCCAGAGCCGGAGGTGCACGGGGGTCCAGCCAGGGGGCAGAGAGAAGCAGGGGGGTGGGGGTGGGGATGGGGACGGAGAGGAGCCCTTGGCCAGCCGGTGGGCAGCAGGCTGAGAGGAGCAATCGGTGGGCAGGGGGAGCCAGCGGGGTCTCGGGGTGCAGTGCAAGCAGAGCAGGCCAGGGCCCCTTCTTAGCAAGGGCCCGGCTCCGCCATTGTAAACCCAGCACTGGATACACAAACTGGACAGGCAGCTTGGAAAATGGGGGGAAATTTCACTAACCAGCCAGCTGTGAGCTGCTTTGTCTTTTCTTGCAGAGAAAAAAGCAGTTAGTTTTCTCCAATTATAAATGTTTAAGCGTACACGGTACAAGATAACTGTACATTTCACTTTCTGTCATTGGTCTGTTTTGATTAAAAACCTGGGTACGTTTTGCACCAGTAATGTTAATGAGCAATAGAAAAGGACATTGTTTTCTCCCCCCTTTTATGTGTAATTAGAACAGAAATGAGCCTTGCTTTGAAGTTTGTCATCCTTTTAAAATGCAGAGTTTTGCCAAGCTGATATAGGATTACTTTTATGAGGTTTTTAAAAGACGGGATTTATATGAAATAACCCTTGGATAAAATGTGAATCCCTGTTAATGGAATTGTAAAGGTTTTAATGATGGATTGATTTTGAAATGTTGTATGTTGATAGAGGTCCTGAGTTGGAGGGAAACTCTGTACGCATTAGTTTAAAGTACTGAATAGTTATTGATTAAAATGCATCATTACATAGTACATGATTCAACGAAGTACTTAGGCACATGCTTAAAGTTCTGCAGATGCCTAAGTGCTTTGCTGAACTGGGGTCAGGATGCACAGCGAGGGTGATTGCTTATACGTTGACCTTGCATTTTGGGATAAAAAGCAGCTGTGATCTTGTACGAACGTCAGCATCCCAAACAAGGAAATTGGCCCATAGGTGGAGCAGAGCCATCACTCCCCGTTAAGGGATGGCCTGCAATTTTCAACCCCATCCTTGGTCCTGAGGGGATTGAGTGCTCGTGAGCCTAAAGGGCTGCATATGCTGGCTAGAGCCTTGCAAAGTCCTTGGTGCTGTGCAGACTTCCTCATCGCTAGCTCACGTTCCCAGCTCCTGCCCTGTGCCCCTCGCCCATGCTGCCACATCTCACTCGGTGTTTAGACATTTATGATACGTTTAGGCTGAATCTGCTCCAAGGAGATGAAAAGAGTGGCTCAGGAAATGGAAGGAGAAGGGCCTGGGGAATGTTTGGGGGAGGTGAGGTGGGGAGAGGAAGGAGGAGCAAAAGGGGAGGTGCATGAGGCTCTGTGCCAGGTGGGCAAGCCTCTTCCCAAGTTAGCCTCTAGGGATGGAGCCCCTGTCCTGGGCATGGATCTAACGCAGGCGATATCCCTTTGTCTGGCAGCTACTTTAAGAAGTTCCAGTATTGCAGCTACTCTCCGCACGTGCGCAGCTGCAAGCCCAACACCGACGGCATCTCCTCCTTCGAGAACCTCCTGGCCAACATCATCCTCAGGGTCTTTGTCTGGGTCATCGCGTGCATCACCTGCTTTGGGAACCTCTTTGTCATCTGCATGAGGTCCTTCGTTGTCACAGAGAACAGCCAGCACACCATGGCCATCAAATCGCTCTGCTGTGAGTCGGGGGTGGGGATGGAGGGGCTGGCTAGGACAATGTCAGGCGAGAGAGAGAGAGAGAGAATGTGTGTGTGTCCATCCGTCCAAGGGCAAAATTTGGCCTTCTGTTAACAGCAGCTCTATAAGGTTTATTGAGCCCATGGGACTGTTGCTAAGGGTTACCCTCATGGGTTGATGCTCCACACTTGTCTCCGTCCCAGGTGCAGACTGTCTGATGGGAATCTATCTCTTCTTCATTGGAGCCTTTGATCTCAAGTTCTCCGGCGAGTACAACAAGCACGCCCAGGTGTGGATGGCGAGCATCCAGTGCCAGCTGGTGGGCAGCCTGGCCATGCTGTCCTCGGAGGTGTCCGTCCTGCTGCTGACGTACATGACCCTGGAGAAGTATCTCTGCATCGTCTTCCCATTCAGCCATTATGGGGCGGGCAAGAAGCGGACCCTCTCCATGCTGGTCGTCATCTGGCTGTTGGGCTTTTCTCTCACCCTCGTCCCCTTCTGGTGCAAGGAGACCTTTGGGGACTACTATGGGAGGAACGGGGTGTGTTTCCCACTCCAGTCCGATGAGACCGAGCGACCAGGAGCCAGGGGCTACTCCACCGGGATATTTCTGGGTAAGGAATCATCAGGACATGGGGCATGTCTGCTCAGCTACAACAGTACCACCAAGCCTTGGGGATGGTAGGCACCATGCAGCTATAGACAGGGGCCTGGAACTTGCTTTCCCTGATGTGTGCTCTGCCCCAGAGTCAAACAGGAAAGTCAGCGTCATGGAAAGGTGCAGTGAGAGGTAGGATGGTCCAGTGGGCAGGGTGCTAGCTTGGGACACACAAGGTCAATTTCTTGCTGCAGCACAGGCTGCCTGTGTGACCTTGGACAAATTGCTTAGTCTCTCTGTGCCTCCGTTCCCCATCTCCAATGGGGATACCCCGCCTCACAGTGCTGCTGTGAGGATAAATGCATTCCAGCAGGAGGTGCTCAGACCCTGCAGTGTTAGGGGCCGCATCAGGACAGCTGACGGTGATTGGTCACATGAGTCCATCAAGAGGCTGCTGCTTGTTGTTATCATCTGGCTCAGTTCAATCTGCAGCCAGGCTGCCAGTGGGTGAAATAGGGTTGATCCCACACAGGTAAGGGAAGCAGCAGCCCTTGGTGTTGGGGGGGAGGGAGGGCAGATAGGATGCTGTTACTGTTGCTAGAGATGAAGGGAGAGTGGGAGAGAGCAATCAGCAAACTAGCCCCTTAAGGAACATTGCTGCCAGGGGACCAGGGATGTTTTCCCCATGTTGACCCCTGGTACACATCCGAGGGCTGATGAGAAACATTTTGCAAAACTTAGGAGGTTTTTTTAGCCCTCTCTTGACCCCTTTGTGGTCCCACAAAGCCCCCAAGCCTGGTGCAGCATTTCCCAGGGGGCTGAGGTGCACCCCTGCTCTCCGTGGGAGGGGGTTGTACGGAAGTGTGCAGCACCCATCCATGCCTGTGGCAGCAGAGCTGAGGGTGTGCAGCCACACAGTGCCAGGTGTGTAGATCCAGGAGCTTTAATGCAGATCCAGGCTGCTGTTATAAATCACTGCTCACCTGCTTGTTACTGCAGGAGAGGGAAAGTGCCTTAACAACCCCCCGCCACTCCATTGGCCTGAGGCCACCTCCAGCCAAAGCACTCCTGGGAGAGCAGGGCCAGAACCAGACCCTAGGAGACCATCGATGGGCCTCAGGCATGCAGGGACTAGAAGATTAGCGGGGTGCAGACACATCTGAGGAGCAGGTGGGGCAGTGAGAGTCCTAGCCAGGCAGCAGGACACCCACAGCGCTGCTGCCCTTGATTGCTTTCACAAACGCTCTCCTGTTCTGTTAGCAAGGCAGAAGCTTCCTGTTTAATCACCTTACAGCTCAGGTTGGCTGTGTCCACGTGGCTCTCGCTGCTCCCTTGGGGAAGAAAGGGATCATTGGCCCTAAGAGGCTGCTTTATTGGAAGGCCTCTGCTAGCTGATGTTTCACCCACCGTGTGTGGCCCAGGCACACCGGGGCTGGCTCTCTGACACACTCATGGCTGGTTGTTGTCCCCTCAGGTCTAAACCTCATTGCCTTCATCACCATCGTGTTCGCCTACACCAGCATGTTCTACTCCATCCACACCACGGCCACCAAGACGGCCGAGCGCAGCGTCTTCTCCAGGGAAGTGGCCATCGCCAAGAGATTCTTCTTCATCGTCTTCACTGATGCCCTCTGCTGGATCCCCATCTTCCTCCTGAAGCTTCTCTCCCTGCTGCAGGTGGAAATACCAGGTGACTGACCCGGCTAAGCTGGAGCCCACGCCAGCATCAACCTTTCTGTACAGAGAGGCCTTGATATGCAGAGCACTGCCATGCGGTGGCTCCCTGCATGTGTCCCTCATGCGCTGAGTAGGTGCCCCAGAGCACCTGCATTATAATGAAGCTGTACAACAAATGCCATGCCAATCCTGGCCTCTTACCGGCTTCATACTACCCCACCTCGCCAATGCAATCCCTCCTGCTCGCAGCAGGGGGCACCTCATTAGGCCCAAAATCGGTGCAGAGCTGGCCTGCAGTTCCTGGCACCCATGCTCAAAATGCTCCATCCCTGAGGGGTAAAAGCTGAGAGACAAGAGCCAGACAAACTCAGGTCACTTCTTTCCCTTGGCCCCGCCCCCCCGCTGAGCCCAGGCAGCACCTTCCATCTCCTGTTGGTTGACAGCCTCTTGCCACCAGCCTCATCTTTCCATACAGAGATGCCCTGGAGTCTAGGCAGGTTCCTCTCCAGTTCTGACCGGCCACCTCATTGGAGCTGGCTCCCAGTCTGCAGCTCAGAGCAGGCTGGGGCCTGGAGAAGGAAGCAGCGGTTCAGTCTCTAGGTCTGTGGTGGGTAGGGGCAGCCTCCTGTGATGGGGAAAGTTGAGCCTGTGTTCTCATGGCTGCATTTGATTGCAGCTATGTTGGGGATGGCGCAAGGTAAGGTAAAGAGAGAGAGAGAGAGAGAGAGTGTGTGTGTGTGTGTGTGTGAGAGAGAGAGAGAGCTGTCACTGGCCTCCTCTTTAGTGGCTTTTCCTGCCATACACACTCCCTTTCGCCCACCTCAGCATGCAAGGCTCACCTGATTTGTACCCCTGCTGAAAACCAAATAGGTGGAAGTTACATCAGCACTTGCTTTGTGAACAAAGTACACCCAGACTGTTACTTTCTCTGCCATGTGTCACCACTGAATTCAGCCCAGCGATAGGAATTGCACTCCCTGCTCCAGGCAGGCCCTAGGTCCTTAGCTCTCCCCCATTATGCCTGGGTAATTCAACTCTTTGCTGTAAATGTTCTTTAGCTGAAAGACTCTTATTGCATAATGGAGTGAGGTGTCTATAAATGATCCTCCTCAGTGTGTGATGTGTTCAGCACTAGCGGTGTCCTAGCAGGTTAATGCATTTTTCTTTGAGTTTTGGAGCCCTGGGTTTGAATCCCAGCTCAGCTCACGGGTGGTAATGCGTTTGGTGCCTCTCTCATTCTGGTCCGTTTGCTCACATAACAAAATCAATCAGCCTGCAGACCAGCTAGAGAGGCTGTGCATTGTCAGCTACCACTCATGCCCGTGAAGAGCCAGCCTCTGCTCTCACGTAGGTGTGAGATCTGGAGTAGCTCTGACTTAATTGGGGTTCTTCTGGCTTTACACCTGTGTGCCTGAGAGCAGAATGTGGCCCTGAGTCTCCAGGCTAAAAGCCTCTGGCTGAATTATTTCCTAGGATGTGGGCAACCAACCCCCATGGTTACTAACATACTCCCCTTGTTGGAACAGGCACCGTGACTTCGTGGGTGGTCATTTTCATCCTGCCCATCAATAGTGCCTTGAACCCCATCCTGTACACCATCACCACCACCCCCTTCCAGGAGAAGCTCAAGCTGTGTTTGCAGAAGAAGCAGCTGCAGCAGTTGTCACTTCAGGACCCAGAAGAATCAAGAAAGAGCTTTTACCTGCTATCCACACACACCAGCAGCACCTGACAGTCCCCAGCGGCTTAGCCTTGGGAGTGGTGACAGGCCTCACTGCTTCATGCATGCAGCTCTGAAGGACCATGTCTCTGTCCTCCCCAGGTGCCTCCCCTGGCTGGTTCATTGCCCACCCCAATGACAGCCATCTTGGGGGCAGATGATGCCAAAGGGGAGCTGCCACCACTTGCCAAGTGCTAGTCATTATCTCAGCCACCTCTCGACCATGGAGGGAATACCACTCCCAGCTGCAGCAACAGTGCCTAGTGTTGTATAGGAGGCTACAGCAGAAATGGTCACAGATAGCCGATGGGGCCTGAACTTTGCTTGTCTGCCCCACGGTTGAAAGCACTGGAACGCTGCCTGCCCCATGCATTCTCGTTGCTGTGTGTCAGTGCTTTGGGGCTGTGGGTTTAGCTGATGCTGGTTCAGCACAAGGACTAACCAGCAGCTGTGGAATGGATGTTGTATTTCATCCTAACCCTCTGTTGCATAGTCCCTGTAGCTCCCTGCCCCTTCGCCCTGGAGCCAAGCTGCAGGGGCAGCTGCTGCAGCAGCCTTTGGAACAGCCGCCCCCAGTGCAGAGCCCCAGAGAGGTGTTTTCTGCATTGCCGGAAGCAAGTCTGGGTCCAGGGGAAGGAAGGTGGGAGGAGAAGTCTTCAGTGCTTTGATTTGGGGCCAGAGGCAGCTAGAGCAGACGCCAGCGTGATCCTGGCGAGAGTTGTGGGCCACTGGTTCTGCCGTGTGGAGTGATGAACTATTCAGGCTGCCCTCAGCCCTTGGGGAAGCCTTGGCTGTGGGACCCAGGCAGCCGCTGCTAGTGTGTGTGAAATGCTGCAGAAGGAAAGGGAGGCGATGCTGTCCCCTGACACTTCCTACACCACCCTGACCGCTGTGTTCAGGGCCTGCTCCCCCAGCCACCACGTTCAGCAAGGACTCACAGCCACACCCTGTTCTCCAGCCGTACCTGGGCTTGTGCCTTTAGAAAATGAATCCTCGCAACTGAGGCACCAACTCCCCTGGGCTAATGCAGCCTGTGCCCAAAACCATTCCTAGGAAACTGCTGCAGCAGTAAAATAGCAGCACCGGGGCAGTTGGTAATGGTTGGTGTTCCTTCCCTAGCCACTGCTCCTCTCGGATTTACTCCTGGGAAGGAGGCAAGCATTGCCCTTCTCCAGGGGGTGGCTGGGCTCTGCCTTGGCAATAGCAGTTCTGGCTCCCTGCCATACGCTGCGTGGGCTGGCTAGCCCCACCCCAATCCCAGGTGAGATGAACCTGGCCGGGCGTACCACCCCGAGCCCCACTGGTGGCCTGGAGACAGAGGAGTTTGTTTCAGCCCCACCCAGGGCTGGAGCTACTGACATTCCCTGTTTGGTTCTGGAAGGATCCCAGCGCTGGAGCGGCAGGCTCTCGGCCCGGGGGCACGGCTCACACTGTGGTGGGGCAGGGAGAGGGAACAGAACAAGGGATTGAAAGTACCAGCTCTCAGCCCGCTGGGGTTCTCTTTGGGCACAGCCTCAGGACCACAGCATGCTGCACATTGTGACCATTGCCTGGAGTCCCAAGGGAGCCACCTCCATGCGCGTTACCCCCGTGCTTTGTGACCTGCACAGAACAGCGAGTGGGAGAGACAGGCTGCCCTAATTATGCCTGTTGGATGCCACAGCTCCTTTGGGAGGGGCTAGCATCAGGTTGTAGCCAAGGCACTTGCAACTGCAGGGTAGGAGCCCTGGGCAGTTGACCAGGTAGATACCAAGTGCCTGTAGCAGGGAGGAGGAAAGAAAAGGGGGTCGGGGAGAATGCATCAGAAATGCTGCTTAATGACACTGTGATTATTCTGGAGAGCTATGTTCGTACATATCTTCTGCTAAGCGATGGGATCAGCTGGTAACACTGCAAGGCTCCAGGCAGGCTAAAAACCCAGAGGGTACCACTCTGTGAGCTCGAGGAGACGCTGCATTAGCTGCCAAGAACAGTGGGGCTTTGAGAGAGTGAGAGTAACACATGGAGGCCTTAAATTGACAGGCAGAGTCACATCTTGAAGCATGGATATGACCATTTAATGCACTGCTTGTCACTCTCCCCCTGACTCCTTTCAGCCCCCCTGTGAGGCCAGCAGTTCAGATAACACCAGCCTCGTTCCTGGGAACGTACCGGCAGCCTGGGCACAGAAGGAATTTCCATTGCTTAGCAAACACACTGCCCACTCCATCAGTCCACCCTGGGGTCCTTGCTGTCTCAATTGGTGCTGATCAGAGCCTGCTGCTGAGCCAGGCAGGGCCTCTGGAGGAAGGACAGCCCAGCCCCTGCCAGCAGGTCAGAGGAATAGAAAGGAGGCCCTGCCATTTATACTCTGAGGCCAGAGGGAAAGTCAATGGGGGAAATCAGATTGTTTGGGAGCAATGGGAAGGTTCCTCTGACGGGTATGAAGCTGACTTGTGTGAGACCCATGCAACTGCCCTGCACGTGCAGGAATAATAATAAGAATAATAATAGCCCTTTACCCATTTCTTTTTGCCTTCCACATGCTTTACAAAACAGTAATGAATTACGCACTCGGCCTCATTCTGTCATGACAGGAGGCTTCACACCCCAGCTCTACTACGGTACCCTGGAACATATGTCAGCCCAGTGCTGGGTGAGAAGGAAGCACAGACCACAGCAGTAAGGGTACATCAAGGTTTCATCATCAGCCAGCGGGTGCCATTAGTACTTTATTATTACACAGAGGAGGAACCGCAGCCCCCTTTGGAGTCAGACAATCTGCAGCGGCTGCATCTGATACAAAAAAGAAGTCCCTTAAATACAAAACACACGTCGCTCTGGTGTTCATCGCCCAGCACCAAGCTCTTACCGCCTGAGTTATATATTAATATTCCAACTGTACAGTATTTATAGATAGAAAAAGAAACATAAAAAAAAAATGAGACAAGAATCAGTCCCAAACGTTAGTTATACAAAACCAAACACAAACAGAATATAGCTGGTGTGCATTAGAGAGAGGGAAAGTTTGTTACTGGTGAAACTGACAATTTCTACTGCCAGTGGGTTTTGTTGCCTTCCAATTGGAACAATGTCCAGTCATTTGGGTCCCTGGTTAAAAAAGAAACCCCGTCAAGTGCACGTCACGGTCAGACTGTTTGCGAGCTTGGAGGGAAAGTGGGGGAGTGACACGATCAGAGCAGTGGGATCCTTGGATCAAAAGTTATGGCGCTGTAGCAACGTGAGTTGCCTTTCATTCCCATCAGCAGTGCAGTGAGCACTGCTTCTTTGGGGGAGGGAATTAAGGGGAGATCAAGTGCCCATAACAATGTGAGCAAACTAGACTGTACTAACCCAATCTCTGCCCATCTGGCTGACTAAAATGGCACTAATGTAGCACAGTTTGGGGCAACTCACATTACTCTCTTAGTGGAACCACTCTGTACAGTGGAGGTTACGAGACCAGTCCCCCCGCACCCCCTGTGGTCACACCTCATTGACCAACGCTATTAAACCTCCCCTGCATCCAGGCTATAGTTTGCCAGCAGGATGGTACCTTTTTAGGGTGTCTTCATGTAATGGAGGTGGTGTTCTTCACCTTCCCCCCCACCCCCAGGCAAATGGAACTCTGACCCTGGGAGTACCTTGATTACTAAACCCAGCCAAAGGGGGATCAGGGAGATGCATTGTCCAATTTTGGTCTCACCCCCAGCCTTGTAATGGCAACCCCCCATGTACAGCTGACACACAGGACAAGGGTGAATGCTTTGGAATTTGGACTCATCAAACTTGGATCTGATCCAATTCATGAAAATGAATGGCTAGGCTCCCACTGGATTCCATAGGGATTAAGACTGGGTCCCTGGTTAGCAAAGCATTTGCACCCTCATTCATCGGTCTACATGGCCCTGTGCTAAAAACAGGGGAGCTAGAGATTCCCTGTGTCTGATCAAGTAGAAAGCACTGACCTGGAGTTCCTTCCCCAGTGAAATTCAGCACCCAGAGTAAAATAGCTTCCTTTTTGCCATTCAACACATGGCGGTCATTAACTATAAACCAGAATAACAGCAGCATCCATCTGACATTAACCAGCTCCCCAGACTATTATTGCCTGTGTGCCGCACTGCTAGGTACAGCTCACACACACTGTAACATCCCCAGCAGACGCTCCTCCTGACACCACACACCGCCATACAGACGCTGCACCAGCTCCGCCCTCTCTCACTTCTCCTACACATCAGCATCATCCTTGGTCACTTCAAGCACCGTCGCTCTTGTCGCTGAGTCCAGTCCCTGGGCTGAAAGCGTGAGCCCATGGTCAGTCTGGCAAAGGAGGTTAATGGGTCTAACTCTGGTCCAGTTGCTTCACGGCTCAGCCTGCTGTATGGACTCCCCAGCCCCACTCTCCCCACGGCGGGCGGGCGGACGATTGCTGGAGAGAGCCGTCCCACAAGCAGCACACTGGTTCGTTTCTGCAAAGCTGCTCTTCAGAGCTTTAGGGAGGAGATTCTTGCTGCCTTTCAACCAGCAACGGGCATTCTGGAAGCAGGACATGACGGCTTCCGTTTGGCCCCTGGTGCCCACAAGGACATGCCACTGGGCACAGCTCTGAAGGTCCCTGGTGTGTAAGAGGAAAGGGATCACACAGAGATGGAAAAAACTATTGGCTCCTTCAGGGTTGGTGGTTGGTTCAAAGGAAGGCTCATGCTCATGTGCCTGGAAAGGCACTGCCCCACCCAACCAGATGCCAACAGCCTGCTGATGGCCAGGTTCCCTCTCCATGCTCCACCCCACGTTGTCTGGGAGGTTCATGATCAAACAGGAGTGAGCCTCTTCCAGTCTCCTCAAATCTTTGTCTCAGGGCCACATGGGCTAAGCACTGGGAAAGAATCTCGTATCCTTGCCAGCTCCATGGCACAAAGTTGTCCAAAGACCTTGCTGTACCACTCGGGAGACCGGCCCCTGGAGAAACAACAGCAGAGAGGAAGTCATTGTCAAATGCTGGAGAATAACATGGCTTGTCATGTACAGCAGGGCCCATTTCAGGCTAAAAGGGACTATCAACATACCTGCTCTGGGGCAGTGTGAGCAAGCACCAGCTGGCATGATAGGGAATATTCCCTTCTCCATTCTCCCATACTGCATATGCCATGCAATGCATGGGCATGATTATAAGGCAAGACTGAACACTGCATTGGCTCCCTTTCCTAGCTAAGGCTGCTACACCCTAGTCGAGTTTGCTGCAGAAAATTAAGGGATAATGCAGCTCTTATGACCGCGGCAGGGCCTTGTTTTTCCCAGATACATGGTACAATTAGCACTCCCAACAGAGACACACGAGCTCCTAACACCGCAGCCTGCCAGTGTGTCTCATCCCGACCTGGAGGGACTCCCAGCAGTGTTGCTATAGGATGCCAGAGGAGCCGGTGGCTTTTCTGTGTGTAAACAGCAGCCCCCAAGGAATTGGACTGGGATCACCAGCGTGCTACACACAGGCATCTGGACAGCCATCTGATGGGAATGACTGGGGGCAATAATGATCTTGGACAGACTGGAAGCTGTGACCCAGCAGTAACTTGTCTGGCCAGCTCCCTGAGGATCTGCTGGGGTAAGCCAAATTGCTAGAGGATACCCCAGTAACCTTTGAGGTCCTACATAACTCTGACCCCTCCTACTTTCCATCCTTCTGATCACTTTGGCAGTGCAGGCCTGGCCTCAAGGCCCCATTTCTCCCACCACCATCTCTGTGCCTTCTACTATGCCTCCCCCTTCTGAGCTGGGTCACAAGGCTTCTCTCTCACCAGCCACATTCCTTTAGAAGAGGCTGAGAAGCCACACAATCTTCCTGTCTATTTTCTACATAGACTACAGTAGTATCCGAGTGGATTTTATCCAGGTGAGCTAGGGAAGCACC